CCCCCTGGCTGCCACCCCAATATAACTCAGCTGCCCTTTTGAGCAGGAGCCAGAAAGAGAAGCCCTGTCGGGCACATCCGACTGGGAGAGCACAGGGAGTTGAGCAGAGAGAGCCTCAGGGCCTGGAATGGGGTAATCTCCTGTATCCCTAAATTGCTGCGGTGGAAGGTGATAGCCACAGGTCTGGGAGTCAGTGATACTGGTCCAGTATATACTGGTGAATACATATATATATATATATGTATGTATGTATATGTGCTGAAAAACAGTTTTCAGAGAAACAGGCAGAATCAGCTTGAGACTGAAGGATGGAGACGTGAGCACAACCAAGGCATCCACAGGCAGCCAATTTCTGTGTAATTACCATCCTCAGTACACCACCACCAATACCATTAAGTGTCATTAGGTTTAACGCGGTTCCCTAGAACTTTCTGATTAATTAGATTACCCAATTAGGCAGGCCACAATTAAAGGGAAGATATTGCCATAAAAGCCCTAATTGTCTAACTTTTTTCCTGTTGAGCAGCTCTGAGTGTTGAATACACCGTTAAGAAACCCATCATCCAGTTTCCTCAGCAGTGGGGTTTGGGTTTTTTTTGTGAGAAAAAAACCTGCTGTGAGCTTCATTTCAGACAGCTTTAACATCGAGTGGGCATTTTGTTTCACAGAGCCCATACACAAGTTTACTTTGCAGAGCTATAAACCGCAGTAGGTGGTATTTAGCAGATGGAGTTTTTCATGGAAGGTGACTGGTAAAGAAAAAAAAAAAGAAACAAACGTTGCACAATATTTTGTTACTGTATAAAGAAAAGCCAGATTCTGCAAATACTTGCCACATGCCTGGCTTTAACCATATAGACGGTGCCAAGTTTCATTTCAATGAGTATTTTTTGCGCATCGGTGCTGCTGAAGTGACAGCTCGTGTCTCTCCTTCATCCCCACAGTGGTGCTGGCACAAATGTCAGTCTGTCTCCCAGCAGTCCAGACAGGGGAAACAAATCCCAAATAAAAATTCCTCCGCCACCCGCATGGGGTCTTTGTGGTGCAGAGCCAGTCCTGGTCCCTTTTGCTGGGTGGTCACAGCAGTGTAAGGCCAGCGTGAAGGAGGGGATGCAGTGGGGAGAGCAGCCAGAGACAGGGAGCAGAGGCTGTCAGCGCTCGCTCTGAGATACAAGAAACAACATCACCCTCTGAGCTCTCTGCTTTTGGTGAAAAAACCCTTGTGGGACAAGGGACTTGGTGACACCAGAGCTATTTACGCTACTTGGGCCAGCAAACTGGGCCTTCTGAGGGCACAACATCTGTTAAGTATGTGCAAAAACCAAAAGTCACATTTTCTACTTTATTATTTCATCAAAATCAAAAAGACGTAGGTCAGGAAAGAGTATGACCCTTTTAGGAGAAAAAGCTCTCTTTCAAAAGAAAATGAACACAATTTCCCTCTAACTCAGGGCGAAGATAATTGTTGTCAGATCTTTGAGTAGCCCTTCAGGAAAAATATGAAGTGAAAATGTGGTGGCTTTTACTTAGAAGGTGCAAGATGAACAAGTTGGGCCTTCTTTACACAGCAAGTCCAACTTTTCTCCTTTACATATCTCATTCCTCCCTAGAAAAATGGAATGGAGACTGCTTATAAACCCTGAGGGGAAACAAAAAATAAAAATATTTCAAATGGGATTGAAAACTGTGTTCTGAAGGAGTTTCATTGCTGGGTTATTAATCAGAACGCAGTTATGGGGGCTCAAAGCATTATTTCTTCAGTTTTAAAATAAAATATTCCTATCCAAGGCTTTGAGTACCAAACATCTGATTAATACAGTCAGATCACAGCAGTACTAAAGTGGTCCTGTCATAGGATCTCAGAGGATCTCAGAGACAGCTTTTCATAGCAAAAAGCAGCCAGTGCAGGACTCCCAGGCTTTTGGACCTTGCTCAAGGTACGGCACAGGGAGACGCCGCAGCTGCCCGGCAGGAGAACGAGCTCTGCACAGCAGCAACAGGCTCCATGCCTGGAAAAAATGCCACAACCTCTGGACCAGATGCAGCAGTGAATCCAGTACTGAGTTGCTGGCATGTTCTCCTGATACAGCTTTGGTGACCTGTCACAAATTAATTGCTACTCACAGTCTAAACAGGCAACTTCAGAGACCCGTATGGCTGCACTCTTCATTCTAAGACCAGGCTAGGAGGGCTGAGTGACCTCAGATGGACACGTCCCTTGATTTTCTGGTGGGAATTCCCCTCGACATGTGCATGGGAAAGCACATGTCGGTCCTGACAAACCCCCATCTGCTCTGGGCTGTGGCCACTTCCATTTTCTTCAAGTTCTTCTAGCAGCTCTCCTCGACACCAAGAAAAAATGCTGCTGTAACCTTGTTCACAGTTACTTAAAGCTCGCTCTGGTCACAATTTGAAATGCAGGCTCACAAAGGCACAGGAAGATCCCCGTTTTTTACAGAGAGGTGCAGCAAGATGAGGCATCGACCTGCTCCTGGTGGGTGGCAGAGTGACCTTCACCCACACAGCGAGCTTCTCCCTCCTCCCTTGAAACCTCAAGATGGGAACCCAAAAGACCTGTGTTACGGTCCCTAAGTCTCTCCTGATCTAGCATGTTGTAAATTAGGCTACTAACCTCACCACACAGGCTGCAATGCTTGTCCAAACTTATACACATCTAAATGCAGGAAAGGATAATTCAGAGTTAAAGGAAGGAAGCACAAGGCCCCATCACCACAAGGCTCATCATTTCTACAAGTAAAGCCCACAAAGACTGCATCTCTGGTGGGTTTAACATGCAGCAGACTGGCTGTCAGCAAACATCACCTCCCTGTGGGCCCTGGGAAGCCGGAGGAGGGAAGAGCATGCAGAAGCAAGGAGATGACTCAGAGGGAGCCCTGGCTTTCTGCAGATGGTTGCAGGCACAGCAAATCCACACCCACAGCAAAACCCCTCAGCCATCAACTTTCCTAGGGACAGGAAAGCTGAGCTGAGCTCCAGGTGTCTCCTGTTAGCAATGGGCCAGGTGTGTGGAGCGATTATAAATATGCCAGGGCAGGAAAAGGTTTCTCTGTAGGGCATCTGGTAACTGCTTGGGGTACCCTCTGCTTTTACAGCTGTATGTAGCATGGGGTTGGTTTTTTTCTCCTCTGGTTGAGAAATTTAAGGTAGAAAAGAATGAGAGGAGGGCTGGTGTGTGCTGTTCTTTAGGATTTGATAGCTCTGTTTCTATGTGTGATGAGAGTAGTGGGTGGGTGGAGAAGTTACCTTGGAGGCTTACTAGGGAAGGGAGTGACTTCTGAGTTGTTTCTGACTTGCATCAACCAGGTGAAAAGCAGAATCTTTTGTTGTTACATGAATAGTAACTGAATGGATTAGTATTTGCTAATTCTGTTACTCTTCTTTAACTAATACCATCAAATGACATCTCTGAGTGACCAAGGTTTCTGTGTATGTAGGATTGTGGTGGAGGAGTGTATGTGGAGAGCAGAACTAATGCCTTTGATAAGACACGGCAGAGGCTGAATAAATAATGCTATCTTCCTCTCTCTCTGCCCTTCTCCCCCTGACAAAGCAGGCCAGTATCAGCGCTACCTGTTCCATTTTATATGGTGAAATGGATGATTGGGACAACAGCGATTACTTTGTTCAGCGACTGGATTTTTCCAGCTCTGGTGAAGAGAGCGAAGACAGAAGCATAAATGAAGAGGACACCCCGAGCTCGAGCTCTGCCAGGAGCTATGAGTTCCAGAAGTGGCAAGAGAGCAGTCCTCTGCCAGCAACCCCTCAGAGAGAGCTTAGTGAGACCTTCCTAAGCAGGACAAAAGCCTGGATGAGTCCTTCCCTGAAGTCTTCCCCAGCTGTAAGTAAGAGCCGGGCTAATGCTGAGACACCATTGCACATCACCTGGAAAAAGCTACAGCTGTGTGACACCCCATACACCCCAAAGGTAAGGGCATGTATCAGCTCTGTGTCTGAGCAGGCAGGGTCTGGGGCATCGCTGCATGCGTGGTGAGAGGGTGTGTTGTTAGCTCTGTGGAAAGCATTTTTTTTAATGTTTCTGTTGTTAGCGTCTACTCTTTCCTTCAAAAGCTGGACCATGAACTTCTTGGCTATGGAAGGTTTATTCTGTGAGTTTGAATAGAAACCTGTGTGGGAGTAAAGTGTCTTGAGTCTTTCTAGGTTGTTGTTAAAACCATAATAGTTGGCATTGGGTCAGTCTGACTTAAAATAAAAACTATTAACCATGTGCTTTGGCTGCCCTTGTATGCTTAGGAGATGAAACATCTGTAAGACATCTGTGTAATCTCTGAAGGAAGTCTGCCCTGTGCTCCCAGAGGGATAAATGCATCTCTTTTTAAGGGGTTTGTTGTCTCCAGGGGAGCTTGGAGACAGACAGCTGTCCTGCCTGCTCTGTTCAGCACACTTTTTTGATGCAAGTGGATTTTCCCTTTAAAGGAAAAGTTGAAAATGGTGTTATGTCTGGGGTATACTTTGTCTGGCAAGTCTGGATACCTCCAACCAGCTTGTTGTCTGGTGATGCTGATTCTCTTTTAGCATGAAATGGAGCTACCCAATTAATTTGGGGAGAGCAATGCTTTGGTCTCAGAGCAGCAAATGTGCTGCAGAAGGGGTAACAAATCAATGTGTGCTTGGGGAGGAAGGTTAGCCTGTCTTCCTCTGTTAACGTCCTAAAATGTGACTTATCTACTAAGCTAGTTTCTTGGGAGAATGGTCCCAGCCCTTATTTTCTGTGAAACTTATTGTATAGGATATAATAAAAGCTTTTTTTGTCTCCTGTAAGCACAAGTGGAGATTTGGAGTCAGCTTCTCTGTTCCTAGAGAATGCCTTTTGTGTGCACTGGTTTCTGGCATTCAAGACTTGCAATGATACGTAGCTCTTTCAGGCCTCTCTCGATATCCCTCCCCTATTGATAGACTGGTTGCTCCTTTGCTTAAGTGGTACGCAGATGATCAATCCCTTTAGTACTCTGAGCTGACTTCTGTCCTCCTGCAGAAACCCGATTATATGGAGAGAAGTGTGGTCTTATGGCTAAATATGACCAACTATGTGGTCATAGTTACTGATGAATGGCCTGCTGCTCTCCAGGGGATTGGATTCCCAATGAGCCTCTATAAGAAATCTCCCCGAATCTCATAACAAAATAGGTGAGAGGTCTAGAATTTCTTCCAGACTAGATGGCCTACTGGTAGTGCAGGGTGCTTTAGGTGTGTGCTGTTGTGTAGATGACATGTTGGCTGTGGGTTTTCACCTTGTAGCCTATAAGCAGCAACTGCGCTAAATCAACAGGTTTTTTTCCCCTTGCTGTCTTCTGGGAGAAAGGTCTTGGTTTCCAAGCATGCTGCAAAAGGTGGGGCCTAAAGGGCATACATCTGCTTATAAACATGGTTGGGAGCATTGATCTTGGAACACTTGAAGTTGGGAGAAAAAGTGTAACAGAGTAGAGTCACATCCAATTGTGGACAGATGAGCACTGGAGCCCCAGCTGGGATGCATGGCATAGGAGGAAGATGATGGTATTTTGTAGACATAAACAATCCTGGTGAAGATTGCTAGAGCCAGTTGTGGTAGCTGCCTTGCTTGTGCTGTATGGCAGCAGCTGCGCTCAGATGATGTTACAGGAGCCAAGTGTGCTTGATTACAAAATAGAGCCCTAGTAGAGCAGAATTGGAAAACACCATGTAGGCAATGGTGGTTTAGATCCTTTTCTTGACTTGTGGCTAGACTAGAACATAGCCATAAGCCTACTGAGCTTCTAGGCTGCTGGGCAGATTGGGCTTGGACATATACTGCTTTTAATACATCCATGTGCAGAACTTCCATCTAAGAACAAGGGAATGCAGGTCAGAGCTTGAGATGGTGATTGTGAAGCACTTTCAGGGTCATAGTAAACAAGCTGCTGAACTTCCAAGTGTGGTATAGCCACTTCTGGGACATCCCTCTATATCCATGAGTACAGCATCAATTCAGTGGATGCAGGATACTGCAAGCAACTCCAGATTATTTTTGTCTCCAAAAACTTTCAATGAGAGAAGGGAGGAACTCCTAGATATGATCCTGGAGCCATGTCTCTACTCCCAAGAGTGAGACCACTGTTGGATCAAAAACATGGCAGAAAAAGTTCTGGGTTCTTGAAGGGCTTTTAAGAGATATGTTAAAACCCCCTTTGGACCTTACACCACTCCCTTGAAGCTGAAATAAGTTAAATTCAAACTGAGAAAATACATTTATTTCAAAAAGCTGTTAACAAAGAATTACCAATCATCATGGAAAGTTAAGTAGATGTTTTCTGTCTTCAGAACAAAACTAGGTGCTTCTCTGAAGTTAGGCTTTACTCAGCCCAAGGTTTTGGGCTGCTGGGTGAAACCAATGGCCTGTCTTCTGTGGGAAGCTGGATGAGAAGATGCAGAGGTTCCTTCTGAACTTAATATCTGAAACTTTAAATTTTCTCCTCACTCTTTTCTGGTCACTTTGCCAGTAGCCATATAAAAATATTTCTACCAGCTTCCCCTATTCTAATGCTGCTTTTTGCTGGGTAACAGAAAGAGAAATCTGGTGATGTTGTACCTCATCTTTCTGACAAACCTGTCCTGACCAAGTTGATGCAATAGTCCAGGCCCCACAGAGCTGTGTCTTCTGCATTATTGTAACATATGATGCAATTTCTGTGTCTCTGTAGGTGGAAAAGATGAGCAGCTGGCTCCTCTTGAGGACTGTGCTTGCCAAAATGGCTCTGCAGGCTTCATCTAAGTGAGCGGGAAATAATCTGAAAGGGCTTAGTGAAGAATGTAATTTGTGTAAGGAGAAGAAAACTGTAATGACTAAATTAGGCGTGCAGGTTTTAATGATTTAGCTATCCTGAGGAAGGGAGCAGAGTTATCCTTGATTTGCAGAGAGCAGAGATCTTCTGACATAGCAGCAACAAAAACATTTTGTTGGCTTATCTGACAGATTATTTTTTTCCTCAATACAGAGCCTGTTGTCAAAGACAGCCTTTCCTTCATTTGGGACAAAGATCCCACCCAAAGGCTTCCAACATCTGAGATTTACTCCTGGTGCTGACTCGGATGACTCTACCAAAGCTGCTCATGTCAACATTAATCCCTTTACACCAGAGTCGTATCGACAAATGCTCTTTCTTCCTAATGGCAAGCGGAAGACCAGAGAAGAGCTGTGAGTGACTCTTAAATAACAGGTGGAGAGGAGATAAGTAATGGAGATGTTTAGTACCTGGACTTATTTGGTAACAATGAATCATTCACTTTTGTAGTTTTCATTGGTGCAGAGCAAACATTAGCAGATACGTGAAGGTAATAGAAAGATAAAATAAGTCATTTCCTTTGTTCAGAGATATAAGTGGAGGATCAACATCTAACCTCAATGCTATGGCCATAGGAGAAAATTGTACCTCTTTCTTTCTTGACCTTGGGTAGAGTGCAGCTTGATTCAGTTACGTAAATACTCACAACTCGGAGGAAATGATGTGCATGTTTGCATGTAATACAGCTTTTAAGATGAGTGTAGGCTACTGCTGACCTGCAAAAGTTGTGGATCTGGTCTGGGTTAACCAAGGCACAGACTTAATCAAATACCTGTTCTCTGCAATGTTCAGCTTCTTTCATAGCCTTAGCTGTAACAGATGCTCAGCTGGGTCTCCCTCTTGAAAGCAGTGGGGCAGTTCTCCCCTTCACCGGGAGCTTGTTCTGCAAGGTCATAAGGTGGCTAGGAGAATGATGCCCCTGAAAAATGCTGCTCTGTCCTGTGGACAGCACTGAAGTTGGTATGTGGAGGCTTTATAAACAAATGAACAAAAATTCCTAGCCTGGGACTACACTCTTTATAGAACTGAACTAGAAACTTGCTGTGTATTAACACTCAAAAACAAGTCTTTAATTAAACTGTGAAGCAAGGTTTGGAGTTAAAAATATTTCAATGTTAAATCTGAGTTTGATTGCTGCACAGAAAGTATACATCCAGACTTTTCTAAACTTCTGTTATAGGAGCAATCCTGATCCAAGAAGCCAGATGAAACATGAGCTGCTTACACAGGTGAGTGTCTGTGTATTTCTGTCCACAGAGAGGATGAGATGCTTGTAAAGATTTGGTGCTTCATGAAATGTATTTTGTCACTAGAATGTAAATCATGGCATCATGAGGGGATCAATACCTATAGCAGAATAATTCCAAGCTGAATGTTTCATGTTAACATTTTTTGGGACAAGAGACTCAAAAATTATTCCCATCTCTAAAGGAAACTTGCACTAAAGTAGATCTGAAACACTGACAAATAATCTGAAGACCCATTAATTTTGGTCAGGAGGTCTTTTTAGGAAATATAATATAATTTGCGTTCCTCAGGGGGAACTGTATTACTATATTATTGAGTTAGCAGAAGTAGCAACTGTACCTTTGTGGTTCAAAAAAGCAGGTGTATTGCTGTTCCTATGAATCGGCGTATGAAGCATCTTTGTATGTGAATGGAACATGGCTTTTATGTTGCAAATAATATATGGACCTGCACTGCAAAACCACAAAGACTGATCTGAACAGCTCTGATGTGGATAAGTATTGGGGGCAGTTTCAGTTGCAGTAGTCTTAATGGCAAACTTCTGAAGTAAGGCAGCAAATTCTGTACTCTGTCAGTAGGAAAATGTCCAGCTGAGGGGTGTCTGTGTGCCCTGGGGTCCAAGGAAGGCCCCACCACATCTTATGTAGTTGCAGGATAGCAAACATTGTCTTACAACTCAAAGCCAAGTCCTCTTGCTGTTGCTGATGTCTGTGCTTTGCTGGCAGATGTCAGCGGTGGGGAGTGTTGGCCTGGCTGTGCAGTGCAGGGTGCGAGGTCTCATGTGCTCCTGGCTGCACTGGCAGAACTGGGTGTCTGGTGTAGGAACCCATGTCCCACAGCTTTCTTCCTTCTCCCTAGTTTTATCTGGGGTGGAGCTACTCATTTGCCTGGTTTCTGGAAAGCAAGCCACGTCTGAACTAAATACCTATGTTCAGATGAGGTTAAAAAAAACCTCAATTTTTCTGAGCAGCGCCTTGAAGAAAGCATCTTGTCTTGTGCAAGTAGGTGGAATCGTTTATTGTAATGGTGAAATAAAAAGGCTTATTGGAAGAATAATGGTACCCTCTAGCTGAGAAGACTGGTATTGCAGAAGAACTAATCTCCATGGAAAAACTAGCGGCAGAGTAAATCTGCTACCAGGTGACATTCTGGGCTATGGTAATATTTTCCTTAGAAGAAAGCCTCTAGTAACTTGTGACTTACTGAAATGTTTTTCTGCTCGTGTGCTGATTAGATTGAGCATGTAATATAGATTAAAAATGTGTTCTTGCAGGTATCTTTACTCCTTGAGCTATTAAAGATACTGTAAAATATATCTACCTTAGGAAATACAACCTTTTGTGACAGGCTGCTGTTTCATATGGGCCACATCTTACTGGCTGTGAGGACCAACTCTTTACTGTCACTCTTTAAAGTCATATACCACGGCAATCACAGCAGTGCTTTCTGTGGAAACCACTGTGCAACATGAGCCACTGTTGCTGTAAGGGATGCAAGAGGATGGAGGAGAAAAAAAAAAAATCACTTAGTCTGCTCTCTTGTTGTTCACTTCATGCTCCACTGCTTATCTCTTCTTTACTTGCCTCCCCTACCAGTAGACACCAGTTGACAAGCAGCACCAGCAGCTCCCATTTTCCTAGTGACCATTACTGTAGCAATAGCCATGTTCCAGCTGTTCTGCAGGCTTTCAGCCCTCTGTGGAAAAGTGGCTCCTGGTGAGAAATCTGTGGGAATACAAACAGATACACTGAGACCTGCTAATCTGCTGTTAGTCAACAGCTGGTGCTTCAAACCTGACAGGAGCCTGTGCTGATACAGAATGTCCTCACTGCGGGCAACCTTCGCTGCCAGAGTAAAGCGGCTCTTACATAGCTGGGGCCATATTAAGCCAATGCACCAAGCTTCTCTCCTGAGCTCAAAATAAGTGGTAGCTCTTACTTAAACACAAGTTCAGTATATGAGTCTGGCTGATTCAGAGGTACTGGACTTCTACTTACCAAGGTTGGTAACAGGTCCTCTGGAGTCTGCAGTAGCTGGCAGAACACAAGTATTTTGTTGCTGCCTGCTGTTCGTCCCTGACTGAATCCATCAGCCATAGATCTAGGAATGGGCAGCGCTGCCGAAAGGAGATGCAATGGTGTTAACCCAAGGAGGCTTAGCCACATACCACCAACTAGACTGCTGTTCTTCTCAGCTGCAATTTCTACCTCTGACTAGCAAATAATGATTTAAAAATAATCAGGCTAAGATGGCCTTTGCTAGGTGGTCAGAAAAAACTCTATATATCTAAGTGGGAGGTAGTGTTTCAAGAAGAACTGGCAGCACACTGCATGCATGCCTGGATGAACATCCAGAACAGGAGAGGGAGCAACAGGGGTGCTCTGTGAAGGCAAGTGCTACACAGCTCTAAAATATGACAGATATTATGAGAGTCTCTCAACTCATATTTGTGTCTTTGCTGTTTTTCTGACCTGTAGAGATACCCTCTGAAAGAGAGCAATATGATTTCCCGCTACCAGAAGGAGTTCCTGGAAATAGAAAAAATTGGCGTGGGGGAGTTTGGCTCTGTCTACAAGTGCATCAAGCGCCTTGATGGATGTGTTTATGCCATCAAACGCTCCAAGAGGCCTCTGGCAGGATCCTCAGATGAGTGAGTGTACTAGCAGGAAAGTGCCAGTTGAAATGATGGGCATGTTCCTGGGAGGTGTGATGGGGAAGGAGGGAGTGTGGATCTAAAGGTATCTGAGGGGTGGCATGGGTGAAAACTGGCTGTTGTTGCACTCCCAGGTAACAGCTGGGATAGTGGGGGAGGTTACTGCTTTAGGATGATTGGCTATAAATGTCTGAGAAAAGACAGAAGCCACATCCATTGCAAAGTGAGATGACAGCTTACCTGAATTCCTGAGGTCCATGCAGCCAATTTCTTTAAAATAATAACTGTCAAATAGTTATTTTGTGGTATGTCCCTGCCCTGCTGTATGGCCAGCACTGCTCACATATCTACTGACCAGCTAACATCATCCTGCATGCTGAAGTGAAGTCTTTGAAGCTGCCTTTGCCTCTTTTAACAAAAGACTTTCCTAGTAATTATTTTTTGACAGCTGCTCAGCAAGATGGATGTGGTTTTCCTCAACGTTCTTTCAAGGGAAGGGGCAGGTTTTGCTTTAGCAACAGTGAGAGCCAGTCCATCTGCCAAAACCCAAGAGAGTCCTAAACACCTCTTCTTTCCCTTTCTCAAGCTGGGCTGCAAACCAGGGTTCCTCTCATGGTCCCAAGCAGGACCCTGGCACTTTGTCACCACTGTTTTTTCTGTGCATGCTTCTCTAGGCAGCTGGCACTGCGTGAGGTTTATGCTCACGCTGTCCTTGGACACCATCCCCATGTTGTGCGCTACTACTCGGCGTGGGCAGAGGATGGTCACATGATTATTCAAAATGAACACTGCAATGGTAAGAGCTGTGGTAAAGGTTGAGATCTCGGCTACCTTTTGTAGTTAAATATGGGAGGTTTTAGCTTACAGCAAAACAAACAGCATTGGGGCTGTAGTTTCATAGAGAATCCAGTAAGGGCTCCCAGCAGTTAGACAAAGTTCTGAATGGTGCCAATGTCTTAAAAGTACTGAATAGCCTCTAATTTGTGGGATTTTAAAATGGTTCCTCTGTGTTGGCTGGTCTGGAAAAGTATTCCCCAAGCTGATGCTTAGAGCTGTGTCTGGGATTGTCCAGGTGAAACCTGGTGTGAGTGACTAAGGAGCAGCTAACTTAAGCACCCTGTATCTTGAAAGCAAACCCTTCTTAAGTAAGGGGAGTAGTGATTTGAAGAGCGTCTGCCTGGCTGGGATGAAGGCACCTTGCCTCCTGGCTAGAAGAAAAGGTTCAACAGCTGCAGGTATTTGCTAGTCCTGAAATAGCCAGAGTGCCTTAATGGAGACTCACAAAACTTCATTGCTGTGTCAAATGTAACATTCTTCAATCAAAAATCTGGTAGTGGGAGCCTAATTTCCTGGCTCCACCATTCATATACCTGCTTTCTGCCCATAAGCATCACAAAAATAAACTCTTCTGCTGTTCACTTGCTGCAGCATCAGCATCACTACCAGGTCAGCTCTTCTGGTGCTGTAGGTAGAACTGCAGTTGCTCAATCCTTGGCAGGCAGGAGGCAGGGCACTCCAAGGCAATGGATTAGCTGAAGCCAAATGGCGATGCCCAAGTTTGATCACTAGAGCATATGTAACTGGTCTGGTTGGGGTTTGTCACTAGCAAGCCTACAAGTGCTCTGGGAAATAGTTTTTCTTCTAAGATATTGCAAACATGCTGCTCCATAAAACCTTTGTCATGTCTCAGAGTGGCTGTCTTCACCTAGGTGGGAGTCTCCAAGATGCGCTGCTGGAAAATGCAAAGCTTGGTCAGTATTTCCCAGAAGCAGAGCTGAAGGAAATACTGTTACAAGTCTCTATGGGGCTAAAATACATCCACAACTCTGGCCTCGCACACCTGGATATCAAACCTAGTAAGTATAGTCCTCTCCTCATTTGTGGAGGGCCCTCCAATTGACCCTCCAGGGGCAGGACCTGTCCTTCTGACTGGACCTATTATAGTACTTCAAAGGAAAGAGGATCTTGCCCTAAAAGGTGAACCCAGAAGAGTGAGTTTGTTTGTTGTGTTTTTTTTAATCCTGGCACTCCTGCTACTCTAAAACAGCCTTTTCTGATAATTGGCAGCATTTTACTTCTGTCTCATGATCTTCATAATCCTGGCTCATGGGAATCGCTTTCATACTGATGAAGCAAGCAGGGCTGGTAATGAAGACAGGGACTTCCTTATTTGCTGCTGTTGTGTTGCTCAACAATTGACCTTTGCACGTGAGAGGTGGAGTGAGAAGTGAATATTTTATTGTAGCTACCTTGAAGGATTACGTTCCTGAAAAAATAGTAACAAGCTCTCCTCTCCGCAGCTGAGGATGGGCACCTCCAGGGCAGTGGTCCCCCACTCACAGCCACATAGTTATGTCCTTATAGCAGAGATCCTCTTTCCTGCTGGTGTGATGCTTCTAGCTTGGGGGGCAGAGAGAGTGGCAGCAAAGTCAATTATACTGGGATATTTTATGCACAAGATACAACTGTCTTCTGTCAGCTGTGTTGCTGAATATGTGAGCTGGGCAGAAAGCAGATTAATGGGTGGCAAGCATGTGCAGAATTTCTCTGGCTGCAAAGCTTAACTAGCTTGACACGTGGGATTCCTACAGAGTTGTAAGGCTGCTGCAGTCTGGTTACTGATACTGCACTATTGCTAAACATCACTGTCTTGCAGGTAATATCTTCATCTGTCACAAGCTGACAGTTGCGAGCCCTGCTGGGCAGGAAGAGAGTGACAGTGAAGATGAATTCTCTTCTGGTGTGGTGTATAAAATTGGTAGGTTTTAGCCCACTTTACAACTAGCTTAAGATTAGGACTGCTCATTACTGTTTGATGTTGCTCTGTCCTGCTGGCTGAAGAGACTTGAATACAAAACTGAGGTGTAGTCCTGAATGCCTCAGCTACTTGGCAGAAGTAATTCCTCTAAGATGACAAGTTCTAGAAGGCTCATGTGCTTGTTTCCAAGCCCAGATTCCTGAGGAGGAGAAAGCTTTTGCTGTCTTACTCGGTATTTCCTGATTACTCTGGTGCATATAAAATGCAGGCTTTTATTGGTGGAGGAGATCTACATCAGTTTGCTCCATCAGTTGCTCATTCCTTGTCTCAGGTGACCTTGGCCATGTGACATCAATAACAAACCCCCAGGTGGAGGAAGGAGACAGACGGTTTTTGGCCAATGAGGTTTTGCAAGAGGTACAGCTGCTGGTGGGGAGGTGGGGAGAATAGGGTGGTGAGTAAGTGGGGAGAGATCCACTGTAGTGAAATAATTAGTCTGGCATATTCCTTACCCTACTTCCTCTTTCTTGTGTCTGGTCTGGCTGTGAAATTGGCAAAAGTAACACTTTCTTTAGAATAGTTTAGGTGTGGGTTTTGTCCTGTAAATATTTAAGGTACTTGATAAGTAACTTTATAATTAGATTATTGCAACTCTTCTACCTACAAGAGATGAATGGGACAAAATTTTATCACTTTGGAGACGTCTCATTTAAACACCCAGCTGAGATTAAACTGCTGGCTGTGACTACTGAGGAATATATGCACCCAGACAAATGCCTTGTAGAACAAAAACACTGACCATGTAGTCATACACACACTGGTTTAGCTGTTTCTTTTGAGCTGGTATCCCACCTTGCTTCTGTTCAGTACAGCAAGATGTTCCCTTTCTGTAGCTGTTTATCTTCTCTCTGCAGCAATACTGCCACTTGCCAAAGGCAGACATCTTTGCCTTGGCCCTCACAGTAGCTCTAGCAGCCGGCGCAGCACCACTGCCTCACAACGGGGCCATGTGGCACCACATCCGTGAAGGCAATATCCCACTGATCCCCCAGGAGCTTCCACAACACTTTCTTGAACTCCTCAAGGTGAGGAAGTAGTCTTGACAGGGTGGAGGCTTTTCCAGCTGACATGTGACAGAGGGAGTGTTAAACCCTGAACTCCTTTGCCTTCTAGCTCATGATCCATCCTGACCCAGCTGAAAGACCTTCTGCCACAGCTCTTACTAAACATCCAGTTCTCCGTCCTTCACGTGGAAAAGCTGTGCAGCTCCAGAAGCAGCTAAATGATGAGAAGTGCAAGACTGCCATGCTGGAAAGGTAGGGCTGGCTTGGGCACGAAGGGGAGAAGACAGGCAAAACAAGTGCTGGTCATCAGGCTTGAATGTAGGGTGGTAGTGTTGGGAGAAATGTGCAGAAATACCCAGTCAGCTCCTGTGTCTGGAGCTGGGAGGGTGATGGGGCTGTAGCAGGGACTTGTAGTGCCAAAGCAGCTGTGATTCACTTCTGGCTTTGAGGTGTTGGCTAAATTAGAGCAGTGAGTTTGCACATTTTCTGCAACCACTGGTGATGGAAATATTATTAATGCTGGTGACTGGTACAATATTCAGCCTGTGGGCAGATGAGGAATTGATACTGCAGTGAAACAGTGGCCTAGTGCAGAAGGAACAGAAGTATCAGGTGGTGGCAGATACTGTCTTCCCCTTGCTCCCTCTCACTGCTGTTGACATTAATGTTTTGAGGTGCTGGGATTTGGAACTGCCCCACCACTCCTCTTAGTGCGCTAGTCAGCTAGGGAACAGGTTTTCCATGTAGATAGGACAGCATATGCTCTGGAAGAGCAGCAAGCATCAGGGAGAAAAGGCAATGGAAAAGTAGCACGTGTCTTTAGGGTATTTGTGCTGCATAAGATGGTGCTGAGCTAAGATTCCCCCATCACAAATATCCAAAACAGTGAGAGAGAAACTGAGCTAGGGGCTCTTCATAATGCTGCCAGTTAGATGTCTGTTGCTGACCTGATGCACAGTTAGTAAACATTCAAAGCTGATCTGTTCTGAAGTAGAAACTCTAAAGAAACCTACAGTAATCTTCATGTCACCCACTGGGGTGAAAACTCACCACCCTCCAGCAATGCTGGAGTGCTGCAGTAAAACTTTTGTGCAAGACAGTTCATAGCTTTCTTCTGCAGCTGATGGGGATTCATGCATGATGTGGTTTTCTTCCTCTCCTCTTCCTTCCATTTCACCCCTGCAGGGAACTTAAAGCAGCCCGCCTTGCCCAGACCCTCATGAAGGACCAGCCTTTAGGAAGTGGCAAGTTGCAAGAGTCTTCTAAGCAAAACAGAAAGCGCCTGGTGGGAGGGAAGAGCTGTCGCTCATTTAGCTTTACTTTGGGTTACTGAATTTCTGTGTTGTCCAAAATGCTCTGGCTGCTGAATGGCCCTGTGAAAGCAGAGGGTCTGCACAGACCAATGCCCTATATTAGCTCTCCCCATTGCAGTTTTTGGTTCCCTCATTAGTTACGATGAGATGTTGTCTAAGGGAAGAATGACTATCTTACAAGTGTCAGATCATGGGATTTAAGATTATTATCCTCAGTCTTTTACTGGTTTAATTTCTTTTGTAACTGGTCTTGTCCTATACTAAGAACAGTTTTTGCTATTTGAGGGAAAGGGTGGCATTTCCTCTACTTGCTTTGCTGTTTAGCTGGGCCCTGCTATTGATGATGGCTTTTTCGGTCTTAATGCTCTGGCCACCTGATTATCTTTAGAGAGGAGAGAGTGGCTGTACATGGGGACAGCATTTACAGCTGGGTCCTCCTAGAAGTGAGGAGGTAGAGACTATGGTAGACAGTTCTAACCATACTTCAGGAGACAGACTGGTTACATAGCAGTCCTGGTGGACTTGGGATGCAATTAGAGTGGCATTTCACTGAGGAGGACAAAGAGTAAAAGCAAACACTTTGAGTTAAGGGGGCTTTTCTTGCAGAACCTGAAGGAGAACTTAACTCCCTTAACTTTCAGCAACAAGCCCAAAATCACGTAACTGGTTAAGCTTTTGCAAACTAGTCCCTGATGCTTGACTTGTTTTTTTGTCAATTGGCAAGGATGCCTTGCTTACAGTGGGGCAAACAGCTGTGGTGATGGGGGGGTCCTGAGTACCCGTTTCCCTCCCAGTATCTTACATGTAGTGCAACTGCTCGCAAACCGCAGCCTTTCGGTGAAGATGAGGGGAATTAGTAATGCCTTTCTAGGCCTTTACTGTTTCTTAGTGTTGCCTATGTAAAGTGTGTATATATTTAATGTTAAATTTCACCATCCCCTGCTGAATGTAACCTGGTATCCTTTTTGGCTGTGTCTGGCTCTGGTGCCTGGACACAAACGGTGTCCTGTTAGGAGGGAGAGTGTAACGTTGGTTACTCAGTTATTTTCAGGTTTTACTCAAGTTTGTTTTCAAGTGTTGGACAGTGCTGGCTTTTAAATTGCTAGACCTTATCCTTTAAGAGGCGAAACGCGCAAATAAAGATTTTAATCCTTTTACCTACGATGGAGTGACGTTCTCTCTTTTTGGTTTGGGTTTTCTTATTGTTATTTTTTTTTCCCCCTCCTTTGGGCCTGATTTTCTGCCACTCCGCAGATCCCAATCACCAGAAGACAACACCCCCCACCTTCTCAGCCGGAGGCCGCGCCGTGCCCGCCCACCTTCACAGGGGCGAGCAGCCTGCCCGCCCGCGGTGCGCTGCCCTCTCCCGCCCCCCGGGCCGCTCTCCCC